TCTAAATGCAAAATTCGTAACAATATGATCTCCCACCAAATCCATATTAAGAGGTAAAATTGGTGGAATAGCAATGAGGTAAGTAAACAATCACTTTCGTTTGATCGTTTGGTAAATAAAATCTGATTTGTTTTTAAACTTGATGGCTCGTTCTTAATTACACTAATGGAAAATGGAATCCCAACGCCAAGAAGAAATCAGTCTAAAGGAATGAAATGTAGGCAAAATTGTTATTTCATTAATGTTTCATTGGCAAAAGTTAAACTAGAGAAGATCCATTTCAAATGTTATTTCAAAATTGGCAAAATTGTTATTTCATTAATGTTTCATTGGCAAAAGTTAAACTAGAGAAGATCCATTTCAAATGTGAAATGTGGTAAATTAATCCATGATGTTATATGCAAAATCATGGATTAATTTATGCAGCGCGAATCCATTTTGTCGTACAGGTGCTGCGCGTCTCTTTGTGGGATAGGAGGGATCCGTGCCAGTTGCACTTGGTCATTCAAATCAGCAACGGTCCCTACTGGTTGTGGATGACGCTGGATTTGTCATCCAATCATGTAACGTTCATGCTTGACGGGAGAAGGATCAGGTGATCAGACTATGTTAACATGTCGACACTCTGTAGAGCACGTTAGGTGATAGCAGCGGTATGAGAACGAGCGTTATCCTGTCCTCCTAACCATCATACAATCATCATGACAGAAACGGCTGTCATCTCAGAAGCCGATAGATCTCTGCCCTCCATAGAGCTTTGGCTTGACTCAACCGAAGTCGCAGGTGGCAGTGATCTGGAGTGGTGGAATATCCATTACAGGGCGTGTGGCTCAGAGCTGTCCCTCAAATAATCGATTTGTTACAGTTTGCTGTGTCACTTTGGTGCTAACAAAAGCTCGAATGCCTGCTGCAGATGTAGTACGATGCGCCACAGATATACGACGAATATGGCGGTCTTGTCTTTGAGCGGTGGTATATGAGCGACTAAACTCTAGCTTTCTTGACCTTCCCGTGAACCTTGCTGCCAGCACCATATGCAAGTGGATGCATCCCTACAAGTCTTTCTACAAGTATCGCGAAAAGAAAACCTGCCTTCTCGTAGCCCTGTTATACAACTTCGTTGAAACTCAGCTATTGGTATTTCCTTCTTCATCTCCTTTAAAGCATTTTTCACGCAGATTTCGCTCACAGCATCCAATGCGGAAGGTTAGAAAAGCACACAAAATTTACATCGGATATTTAAACTAAACGTGGTTTGCATGTTTATGTTTTTGTTACTTATGCTCATTTGTCTGACAGTAATATAAGCCCAAGCCCTCAAAATTCTTCGTAAGATACGTCTGTCGTATGCAACAGCCTTGAGCACCATACAAGTAACAGTGCGAATTAGCTCAGTTGCGCCCCTAATTTTAATGGAGAGCACCCCAGGGGCTGACGGGTCCTCCACCCCTCTCCCCTTCCACCAAACTACACGAGAGGACATTCGGCTGGCCTCATATTTAGAGTGCCGACATGCCGTATCTACACTATACAAACATCCATGTCTTTTCCAGGATTCGAATCCGGGTCCATCCGCACGGCAGTCATCCATGCTAACCTCTATACCGGTTGGGCGGCGCATGTTCATAGTGTTAGTACCACACTTATTCATCTAGCGCAAGGGCACCCAACTGTTTTGTCTGTCCCTAAGAGCACATTCTAGACGGCGGACACCATTTACTTTTCAAGGTCAATTTATACTTGGATAACGTTAATATTAATAATACATGCACACACACAAAAAAAAAAAAAAAAAAAAAAAAAAAAAAAATTGGGGAGAGAAAGATCGGTCGCATTGTGCTGGTATCTGTGTTGGCGCAATTTCTGTTTCATTAAGAATGAGAAAACTTTCACATAGAATTTTATTGAAAGAACATATTGAATTTACTGAAACATAGAATTATTGAATCACATAGACTTTAGTGATATTATCACATATTATTACATTGAATTTATTGCAACATTTTAATTGTAATCGCACAGTGGCAGGCACACGTTAAACGATCGGCGCGGAGGGCGCCATGGTGCCCGCGGGTATAGGGTTGGGAATCCCTGGTCTTGCGTATTCTAGTGTTTCATACAGTGGACAATGATAACTGTGCGTTCTCATGTACACATACTATATCTTATGTATAAATATCGTATCGATTTTAGTATGTGGGCAGGTCATATAGTGTTTTGGATTCACAAATTGATGACTTAACAATCGCAAAATGTTTGACTGCAGCATGTCTTTAAAATTCTCAGTTTAGTGGTTAGTTTTTTTTTAATAAGGTGACCAGCTTTTTTTCTTGTCATTTTAGCCAGGATCCAGCCAATCTTCGCTGGTTTTCTTGTGATTGTTTTTGCTGCTGTCTTTCAGTTCTGCTTTCTTCAGTTTCATTTAGTTTGTTCAAACGCCTTCTCTGATTGTTTTTCTGGAACGTATTTGCTTTCTAAAATCTGTTTAATATTAACCTGTCGTTTGTTTGACGTTCCGGAACTGTTCTTCATATTTACCAATCACTCTTGAATAAACACCAAACTCTTGTGATCTTGATTCATTTCTATCGCCCAAGATGCTCCAACCTTACCACTAATGTGCCCTCGGCATTAGGCTAGCCAGACATCATTTTTGTTGAAAACGCATTAACAGAAAGCAAACGTTATTACATATGTTAATAAACAAACGCTAATAAACAAATAACATCTTACTTGTTTTGCAGAATAAAAGTTTTAAAATTGAGGATTCTATTTTAAATTCCTTTACAAATCGTCCAGAACTTTAAAACAAAAATAAATTAAACATTTTTATATTTTTCAGTGTTTTTTAAATACCGAGTTAGTATTTTAGGGGATTAATAGTTCGTATAAACTTTGCGAACAAGCACGCCAAAAGAGCAAAAAAATCAACTAAAACCCTTTTTAAAACTCAAGCAATAACGAATTTTATGGGTAAAAGATATCCGAAGCCAATCCGCATATCTTCATCAACCGCATATTTTCATCAAATTACATATCAAATATAAATGGCATACCGAATTAGAAGAATATTTTCATCAAATTACATATCAAATATAAATGGCATACCGAATTAAAAAAATATTTTCATCAAATTACATATCAAATATAAATGGCATACCGAATTTAAAAAAATATTTTCATCAAATATAAATGGCATACCGAATTAAAAAAAATATTTTCATCAAATTACATGTAAAATATAAATGGTATACCAAATTAAAAAAAATATTTTCATCAAATTACTTATCAAATATAAATGGCATACCGAGTTTAAAAAAAAATATTGCGACAGTTAACAGTGTAATGTTGGTCAGCTGACTGCGTTCACTGCACACACTGCCTTTTCTAATATAAAATTTAATAAAATAACTTTAAAAAATCAATACCTTTTTTCATTTAAAATTATTATTTAAACGATATCAATATTTCACCTTTTTTCACTCCGATTTCTTATTTTCATTTTATTATAGTTGTATAAAATATACATTTTAAGCCAGGTTCTTGTTTTTCTAAATGAATTAGGGAAAAAAAGGAAGAGAACACAAAAAATTCTTATTCGTTACAAACTTTATTTCATTTAATTGTAGAGATGAGATTAAATAATGCAACTAAATTATTATCGATTTAATAAGTTTATTAATAGAATTAAAAATTACAGTTTCCTGTTATCGTGCAAAGAAGGGGAGAAAAAACATTTTTTTGTTACAGTCCCGCCCCCCCCCCCCCGTCGTGGAAAAGAAATGTGTTGTCTTGCCTTTAAAAATTATAAAAATATATAGTAATTTAACAATAGTTCTGGCCACGGAGACGCGAAATAACGTCCTGATATTGAAGAAAGTCATGGAAAACTAAAATATAAAACTCAGAATCTTCCTTCTTTAAATTGAACATTAGTAAAGAACGTCCTTCTACGTTCTTAAACTTCTTCAACTTGAACGCTAAATTGTTTTAGAAAGTAAAATTGGAATGTTTCAAATTTTTCTTTCTAAAAAATCTAGAACGGAAATAATAAAAATCTGAAAGGTTTCAGATTTTAAATTACGTCCAAAGGGGCTTTTTTTAACGTTTTGTGTATTACCTTTATTTATTAAATATCATGTTCTTTGCACTTAAACCATTAACTTCAGTTCAGTAACAATGTCGCAAAATAATTTTAAAATGAGCCTATCTTTAGAATTTCCGATACATAGTTCCGCGCCCGCTGGAGATAAAAAGTTTATTTTCTCCGCCGTAGAGTGTTGCCATTGCTCGCTTTTAAATAGTTGAGTTTGTTACGCAACAATTCGTTAGTTTTACAAAATATGAAATCGATAATAAAGCAAATTCCATATTTCAGATTTGGCCTTCCACGAGCCCATATTCGTAGGAGGATGAGGTCATTCAAAATTCGATGGCTCTATGTACCGTTGTTTTATCACAATGCGAGAACACAGACATATATTTATGGAGATTTTTCATTATTTGATTTCTTCAAATATAATGCAAGACTCTAACATTTGGTGGCAACAGTTTGAAAAGTGAAACGGACATTTATAGTGATTCAACGCAAAATCGCAAAGCAAAAACTGTAGTCTTTGAGGGACAAAGCCCTTTTGCACTAAAAATACATAAAATTTTTTAATATAATGTAATATTTTTCTTGAATATAAAAACTTATTCCTAATTTTGTTAATGCTATTTAACAAAATAAGTATGACACCTTTCGAAGTAAAATGCGATTGACAGAAAAGTCAAATTAATTAAGATGCATTACAGTAAATTATTGTATGGCCCGCATGGGGTAAGGGGTTATGCCAGTTATGTGGCAAGGTAATTATGTAGATTTTTTGTATATCTAAATAGATAATCCCAATTAATTCGAATAATCCCAGTTAATAATTCTAGTTAATTCGAATATTCGTAGCTGAATTGTACTTTACCAAACGATGCTAAATTGTTCATTGTATTTTCCCCCGCAGGGTTCAGACACGACGAAGAAGAGGCCACAGTTGCTGCTTTGGTTATTCACTTTTCTTTCCTTGATTCTCAGATCGCGGACTCATACGGATCTTTGTGATCAAGTTCAACCTCCAGTTTACTGCACTTGTGATGTCATCAGTCGGGAAAATACCGCCACTTGTTACATTATTAGCAGAATCCAGACTGATGACAGCTTTTGGACCTCTTTTGAATACTCAGATGTCGTCAGCTTGAATTTTCGTTCATACGGGGATGCAGTTCACTTGACATTCATTCCATCAGATGCTGTTCAGAAAATGTCCTATCTTCGAACCTTGTCTATTACGGAAGCAAGTCTTGGAACGTTGAAATCAAACGCCATCGCCGATTTGAAAAGTCTCCGAGACTTGGAACTGGAGAGGAACGAGATCACTGGACTGGAACGGGACGCCATCACCAGGTTGCCCAAGCTGAAGAAGCTGGCCCTCAGCGAAAATAGTCTCCAGGAGCTACTAGCCGAATCGCTGACGGAACTTCTCGAACTAGAGCAGCTGTTCTTGGACAGGAATAATATTTCTCGCATCGAAAGTTGTGCGTTTTGTGAACTGCAAAATCTGAAAGAACTGGAGCTGTGGGGCAATCAGATCACCGATCTGACTGAGTATACATTTCGTGGTTTGAGGTACCTGAAACGCCTTGACCTGTACAAGAACCAGATCCAGATTCTTAACGATAAAATATTCCAGTCCATGCCCAACCTGCTCGAAATCGATTTGAAAAACAATCTCATACATTACATCTCGAGAACTGCATTCGCGGGTTTGGATAAACTGCAGCGCCTCATGTTGAATTCAAACAAGATTAAGATGCTTCATGATGAGGTTTTCAAACCTTTGTCAAGCCTGAGGTCTGTGGATTTATACAACAACGAACTGGAATTGATACAGGTTCAGGTTGTGGAAAACATGGCTAATGCGAAGGAGGAACAATTTTCTTTCACCCTGAAAGGTAAGCAATATCCGCCTTTAACTTCAGTAACACCTGCTATTGACTCGAGTTCTTAAATTTTTTCCCACGTTAATTATGTATGTTTCAGCATAATTTATTAACATGTATTAACTTGGAGTATAAGCTCAGATTCTAAGATATTTTCTCCCTCCTTTCTGCATACCTTCGTAGTGTAATGATAGCACACTCGGCGCGTATTCGAGAGGTCCAGTTTCGAGACCCGGCGAGGGCATTGCACATTTTTCACGTCTCCTGCTTCAGAAATACCTGATGTCTCTACAACCTGAAGTGAGGAAAATTATTTTAGAGAGGAGGGAATAACAGAACGGGAAGTAACACAAGTGTGCATTCATTTAAAAAGTTATATAAAAGACTTAAAATTATAACGTTTTATGGAAAATAAAATATTTACGTAGCGAACAGCTCATTTTCAACAAAATTAATAAACAACTAAATCAGTTATTAATTTCTTATTCTTATTCTTATTCTTCTTTCTTATTGTAATATGTAGTTCTTTAATTTATTATTATGTTTATACTGATATCGGTATCAATTTTTTTCATCCTTTTTTTCAGTTTTAATTCATAAATACTTTCAGTTCAGGTTAGGTTTGTTATGAAAAGTAAAAGGCTGGTTTTATTTTCCAGGTTGTTTCAGTGCAACCTGTAGGGTTTATATTTATTTTAACTAACATTTATTTTAAGTTTAAACTATCTTTCCTGTCAAGCCTTACTTTCCCCTGGAACTGCCAATGCCAGAATATGTAAATTTTAGTAGAACGCGCAAGCATTCAAATTATCAGCGGAAGTATTCTGATTTAAATAGAAGGAAACGAGTTCTGTGTGATATTCTTACTTAGCGAGCGCGGAGGTAGTTAGCGAGAATTGAAGAACCCCGCGTTGCGGCCTATGTGCTTGGCGGGAAGTAGTAGTTAATCGTTCCAGTGAGCTTCAAGTCTGCTGAATTAGCAGCGGTATTGTAAAACGCGGTGAGTTAGTTATTTTAGAGAGCCTCGTAGTTAGAATCTTGTCTTTACTTTCTTTTCAGGTTATTATTTTTATTTGACTGCCAAGTTGGCACAGTCTGTGAGCGTCAAGAGCACGCAATTGTAATTTTATTACGTTGAATAAAAAGGGACTTAAACCCTTCACAAGACTCTATCTTTTATACAAGTTTTCACAGTCACCTCTTGGTTGCGTGCAAGTTGGAGGCGCGCAACGTTATATTGGCGCCCGAACACTTATCGAACTGAAATGCCCGAAAACTGGATGGAAGCCGCTGGACAACACCAAGAAATGACAACTCAGTTAGAAGGATTTGGATACCTGGTCCAGACTTTGAGAGCGTCAATCAAGCCAAACGTCTATTTCGACGGAAAAAAAAATTCGGTGTCCGTATTTTTAGAAGGTCTAGAAAACCACTTTCAGCTCTACCCTGTGCCTGAAAGACAAAAAGTTGCCATCGCCACATCAGCACTAAGAGGACAGGCCGCGCTATGGTGGAAAAACATAGGCAAATTTCTTACTAGGTGAATTTGGAAGCCCGACATATATACATTTGAAAATTTCAAAAAATCGTTAGTAAAGGCCTTCCCCATAGTGAAAGATCGCGCACGGCTGGAAGCCGAACTATATAGTTTCTACCAACGGGATACAGCAGAATTGACGGACTTTATTTTACGAAAAATCAAGCTAACGGATATGCTGTATGGAAAAAAACCCGATGCGGAGATTATTGAAATAATATTACCAAGATTGTTACCCGCTGTCCAAGACTACTTTGAAATTAGAAACCCAAGCACATTGCAGGAACTTTTCGAATTGGCGGTGAAGTTTCAAAATCGCAGAATAGCGGAAAAAGCGAGAGGGGAAACATATTCTCAACATACCCGAAGGAAGGAGGAAACCAGAAATGGAAATCGCTCATATGGGGGAAAGAACTATCAAGCTAACGCATCGAAACTCGAAGGTCAAGGCCCAAAAAGAAAATTTGAAAATAAGCATCCGCGTACCCAGAAGACACAGATTGAAAGGAAAGCTTTAAACGACTAGAGGGGCCTGTGAAAGGGAGGGTCCAGACCCCGGAAGTTTTAAAAAAAACCCTCAAATAGACATTTAAATACGGTCATCGTAAAAAAACTCACAGCTACCAATTATACAAGTCCTGGTTGGCGATGTACCAGTAGAAGCCCTCATCGATACAGGAGCAGAAGGAAATTTTATGAGTGAAAAGTTCTTCAAAAAGAATTTTTATAGGATACGACTATTTAAAACCAAAAATACGGAAATTATAGCGGCGCAAGGAAAAACATGTCACTGCATCGGGAAATTATCATTAAACTTACAGGTAAAAGAGGAAAATCTCAAAGTATTAATTTTTGTGGTGAAAGACCTACAACACTCTCTTATTTTAGGTATGGACTTTTTAAGGGCCGCGAGGGCCAAATTAAATTTTCAAGATAGTTCCGTGGTGCTGGAGATGGACCAGAGGGTGGTGGAATGGAACCTGTGGAGACACCTGAAGTTGGACCTTAGCCATCTTGAATGACCATGGAAAGTAAAGCAATACAGCAAGTGGTGAGTAATTTTTCTCATTTGTTTTCAGAAAAAAACCAGGAAACTGTCAAATCGTGACTCACAAGATTCAATTAAATGCCGAAAAACCTTGTAGGACTAAACCGTTATCGCTATGATAAACAAAAAGACTAATCATCGAAGAACATATTCAGGAGATGTTAAAGAATAAAATAATAACGCCCATAAATAGTGAGTACGCGAGTCCAGTCGTACTATGTAGGAAAAAGAACGAGTTTCCTCCTTCGGATAAAAGGGCTTGGAGGTTTGCTATCGATTACAGAAAACTAAAATAGTATTACTAAATTTCCAGTTTACCCTTTGCCGGTTATAGACGAGATCATTAGACAGATCAAATCGACAAGATATATGTCTACTTTGGACTTAACGTCTGGCTACTATCAAATAGCTATGAGACCCGAAGATATACATAAAACCGCGTTTATAACAAAATCGGGCACTTATGCATTTTTACGCATGCCTTTGGGTTGTGTGGGGCCCCATCAACATTCCAGAGAGCTATGGACATTGTTCTAAAGCCTGTCCTAGGAAAATCAACTTTAATTTATCTAGATGATATAATTAATATAACGAGTAGTACGTTGGAACAACACATTAATGACCTCGAACAAGTTTTTAAATTATTAAAAGAGGCCGGTCTTACAATTAACGCCTCAAAATGCAAGTTCGCAACTAAAGAACTTAAATATCTCGGTTATAAAATTTCGCAAAAGGGTATAGAAACGCAAGATTCAAAAATAAAAGCTATTAAGAATTTCCCACCGCCCAACACCGCCAAGAAACTTTCTTCTTTCCTTGGATTATGTTCTTACTATCGATCTTTCATAAAAGATTTCGCTAATATTGTTGAACCACTCTTAGTAATCAAAAGAAAAAAAAAAGAGTAAATTTACGTGGACAGCGGAAGCTAACACAGCTTTTGAAAGATTAAAAGAAGCGCTTATTAATGCCCCTGTTTTAAAAATTCCCTGAGGGGGACGAAAACCTGGAAATTGCGGCAGATGCGTCAGACTATGCGGTGGGTGCGGTTCTTATGCAAAATAACCATCCGCTGGCATTTTTTAGTAAAACGTTGAATCAGACACAAAGGAATTATACAGCTACAGAAAGAGAAACATTAGCCGTATTAATGGCTGTACACAAATTTCGAGTTTATTTCGGCAAATCGCCAGTAACAGTCTTTTCGGATCATGCGGCTGTTGGTAGACTTTACTCGGGAAAAAACCTAACGCCCAGGTTAATAAGATGGGCTTTAAAACTCCAAGAATATAATATCACAATAAAATATAAACCGGGTAAGGAAAACAATGTAGCTGACGCACTTTCTCGTATAAAACTGGACGATGAAGGAAATGAACTTAAATGCGCTGTGTTGACTTCAAAAATTTTAGATTCTAGAGATACGGTTATTACTGAACTGAAAGCTGATCCTGAATTTGGAAATATCTATGCTTATTTGAAAGACCCCGAAAGCTTTGAGCATACAGATATCGATGCGATAAGAAATAGAGCAAAAAACTATGAAATAATAGATAATTTATTATTCTATACGAAAACAACAAACGAAAATCTTGAGTATAAGCCAGTCATCCCAGCCTCGCTTCGATTAAGCATTTTGAAGGAGTTGCACGAAGAAAAAACAGCGGGCCACCTCGGGGTCAGAAAGACTATAAAAAGGGTACGCGAGGCGGTATATTTCCCGCAATTATACAAAATAGTAACGGCGTATGTCAGGTCCTGCAATCAATGTCAGTTAATAAATGATATTAATTACAGCCCGGCCGGGTACTTAAATAGCATTCGCGCTACATTTCCGAATGAAATTTTAGGCATAGATCTCCTTGGTCCCTTCCCCCAGAGCGAGTTAAATAAAAATCGTTTTCTTTTAGTAATAGTAGATCATTTTTCAAAATGGATAGAAATTGTTCCACTTAAACGCGCGTCAGCCAAAACAGTCGCAGATGCATTCTTACACAGATACATTTTAAAATACGGTGCACCGATAAAAGTCATTAGCGATAACGGAAAACAATTCATTAGTCAAATATTTGAAAACATATGCAATGGACTTGGCATACGCCATATCAAAATGGTTCCGTATAGACCACAGGCTAACATAGCAGAAAGAGTTAATAAAAACATAGTAAAAATAATTCGCAGTTACGTTAGCACACATCACAAGCGCTGGGATGGCTACATAAATGAATTAGCTTATGCTTTAAGAACGGCACATCATGATACTACGGGAAAAACTCCAGCAGAATTATTTTTAGGCAGAAAGTTAATTACGCCTTTAGATAAATTATTCTTTGTGCAACAAAGAGAGCAGGAGTTTTAAACAAAAAGATGTGCAAAAGCTAATTGATCAGGCACTTAAAACCTCGGATACGGCAAGAAATAGGCAAA